GGTTTCACTATGCTTTGGTGCTTGTCTCTCTCAGACTGCTACAACACTGGTCTACTCAGGAAACAAGTCCCCTTCCTGTCTCCTCTTAGTGTGAAGGATGAAGGCTACAAGACAGGGGACGTAAGCAAAGCCATGTGCAAAGATGGAAAGAGTCTGTCTTGTACAACACAAAGTGCTCAATTCTTCTAGAATTGTCACATCCTTCCCAGAGTCCCCAAACAGTTTCATGGAGTTCCAAAAGATCAGCACAACTTCACAGGCCCTTGCTTTGTTTTCTCCATTCTTTCACCTTGCCTGTCTGCATGTGGAATGTGGCAACATAAACACTCACCTCCCAAAAACAAACTCTCAGTCATTTTGACCTTTTGGGGTTGGTACTAAGGGAAGAAATCCCACAATGTTGTTTACTTCCTGATCTTAGCCTGTCTGATAGGAAAGCTAGCAAAGGCCTCTTCCCTAAGTGACAGAAGATAAGAAATAACCCCCTTCTAAGGAGGCCGCAGCCCATGCATCTGGACTCACCACTGCCATTCCACAAGGAGGGGCTGCAGAAGTCACCAGTCCAAAATAGACCACAGCACTCCATAGATGACATTTGTAGAAACTGGTTTTGCTGGGACCAGGATGGTAGAGTGCAGCACTGCTAAATGCACTTTGTACTGAGAAAACCAGTAAACTTAATGGTCCATTAAGTTGTGTATTTTTATTTATGACACTCTTCAATAAAAATTAATTAGCAGTTTCCTGTAAGGCCAGCAGAATGAGTCTGCCCTTACAACGAGAGCAATCAAAGCAAGAAGGAGGACCCCATCTGTTCCCATGACTGGAGCCAGGGTCCGATCAGCCTGGGTCTAATCCAAGATAATCCTCTGTGACTCCGTGTGACCAAGTGGTTGGGAGTCCAGGCTTTTAAGTCACAAGACCTAATACCACAACCTTCACATCTCAGCTCTGTAATTCTCCACAGATCACCCCACTTCCCTGTGCCTCAATTTTCTCATGTACAATATGAGAACTATAATATTTTCTTCACAGGAAATAAAGATTCAATATGATAAAGAGCTTAGCACAGTGTCTGGCATGCAGTATGTGCTCAGTAAATGACAAGTACTGTTGGGGGAGTGGTACAGAACCAGGCCATTCTGAGGACAAGGACCTTAATAGAGAAAAGGCCATGATTGGGGTATGGTGGGATATCAAGGAAAGAAAGACAGCAGGCAAGAAACCCTTTTATATCTTTTGAGGACATCACTGCTTTGCTTTTCTTTCTGTAAAAGCCACTACTGTTCCTTTGTTGGAGGAACTAGGAAAACTGAATCAAGCATCTTCTCATCCTGCTAGATTCCACCCTCTCCACGGGTAGACAACCCCTAAATCTTTTAACCTCTATGCTGAGATGTATCACAGCCAAGGAACTGGGGTGGAGGAAAGGCTACACCTGTCCTGTCTGTCCTCCTGAGCAGAGAGAGGTGGTTCTCTTAGGCATGCTGAGCAAGTGCCAAGCCTGGGTATCCAACCAGTGGGGCTTCAGGGAGCCCTCTCCTCAAGGTGATGGGGATGATGAAGATTTATCTTTCATTTAGCACCATGATGATAAACCTTAAACCTCCCCAGTTCTTCCCTAGAAGGTGGGTCCCTTGTAGGGCCAGATGTTACTACACCTGCAGAGTTTTTGTAAGTTTATAGGTTTTAAAAGGTCATGTTCTTTGGTGGTAAAAAGTTTTACAGACCATTAAAAATTTACTGCAGAAGATGGGAAACACAGCTGTAATGGAAAAGGCTGGAACCAGGAGTCTAGAGGATCTCAGCTCCATCCATAATTACCTGTGGGAATTGAGGCATGCCAGGAAGGCTCTCTGGGCTCTGTGTTTTAACCTGAAAAATAGGAGCAAGAAAAGTGATACAGATGGATAGGTGGAAGGCTCTTGGCGCATGTGTGAGAACAGTGTTCCTTTCCAGGGTGCCGGGAGCAGCCAGACACAAAGGGAGGCCCAGGCCTGTGGGCCCATGCAGTCTTGAGCTTTTCATTACCCACCCTGGATCGCTGCCAGCTGCGTGTCTGCCTCCACTCCCTGGGAGGAGCCTGGCCGTCTGCACTCCGAGCATGGGAATCAAATTAGCCCTGCCTCTGCTTTTCCCTGATCCCCACCGGCCAACAGGAGTTCATGGAGGCCTCAAACTAATTCTTATCTTATTTAAAAGGGGCAAAAGTGACTCCAAAGTTTCACTGGAGGCAATTTACACCTGGCCACTGGCCACAGCTCCAACTACCCGCATCTGTTGTGCCATTACATCCATTAATAGGAAATTTCTTCAGGGGAAACTTGATTGCTGCTCCATCAGAGAAGCTCACAGGCAATACATCTCCATCTGAGGCTGTGGCCTTCCCGGCTCGCTCTAATCCTGTTACCGAAGAAGCTAATTCTGTAATGTACACACTGTGCCGAAGACATCCTCTTCCTTCTCTAACACAATTGGGCAGTCCCAGGGGGTTCCAGGAGCTCATTGCAGAAGTGAAGGCATGGGGCCCATGGGACAGGGTGTCCAGGCTTTCTCACTGCCCCTAGACAGGTCTTAGCACATGCCCATGGCTGGCACTCCACTCTACAGTATGGAGAGTCCACTTTCCAGAGTCCCACAGTGGGGAGGAGTGAGCCCCTCTAGCCGCTTTCACCTCCTCCTTTCCTCTCCTCTTCTTCCTTTCCTTTTCCTTGCAGGATTTTCCTCTTTTTTTTCTCTCCCCTTCCTCCTTGCCTTTTCTACTCCTGTCTTCCTCTTCCTCCTCAGTTTCCTACCAATTTTCCTTCTTTTCTCATTTTCCTTTTTTTTACTTCTCTCCCTTTTCCTCTTCAGAGGCCCCATTTTCTATGGTTTTTCCTTCATTTCTGTTTCCCATCTCTTCTTGCCCCTTTCTCTCCTGCTTTGTCATTGTCCCTTTCAGAACAGGCGCAGTGCCTGATGCCTCTTGCTGCCTTCTGACTCCATATGGCTCCGCTCTGTGAAAGGACTGGGTGCCATGGCACACTGGCCTTGGCTTGAAGCAAGAGATGGGAAAATTTTAGGGGTAGTGGTTGTGTGTGGAGGGTGGGAAGAGTGGTTAATTATCTGTTTGTTCTTTGATGATAAAACAACTAATGAAATCCTAAGTGGGTTTGTTACTGCCATATGAAGGGACCTCATCAATAAATAGCAAAATGCTACATGTAGATTTCATCATGCAAACAAACAAGAGGAGAAAGCCTTCTAGAAATATGCAGCAGATTTCTAAGTGGCATTGGAGCTGAGCGTGAGCCTGAGAATTGTGTTCATCACTCCAGATGTTGTGCTCCAGGCTGCACTGAGGAATCCAAAGGAGCCCTCCTGAGTCTGAGCCTCTTTAAGACCTCAATCTGCCTGGAGGCGCACGGCATCCTGCCTCTTCCTGCCTTGCCTAGTCCTGCTCTCAAGCCTGGAGTCTGTATCTTCTTTCAGGGCAGTAGGATTTCACTTCTAAATTCTCTCAAAGTTTAGGGTCCCTTATTTTCTCCTGTTCTAACACTTCTCTTCATCTTCACTCCCCTAAAAGGAACTCTTAGAACTGATTTTCCTTGTTTTTCTAGATTGTGCAGTGACAGAACACATGACCTAAAAGAATAGTAGCCCAGGCTTGAGCTTAACTAAGTATCCCTAGGCCAAACCCTGGCTAATGGCCAAGCAAAGGGACCCCATCAACGAAAGGTATAATGCTATATGACTATCTCATCGTGCACATGAATAGGAGGAAAAATCCAGACAGAACCAAGAAGGACTTATCTCTGACCAAGGGCTTTTTAAACAACCAAAATTCAGAAAATTCTTTCTTGTAGTGTTTTCAGCCTACTGTACATTGGAAAGGGGGTTAAAAGGAATGAAAATGTTCTGTGGTTGAAGTTCACCATGACTGCACTTTAGTACAGGTGCATCTCACCTTGAAAACACTTGAGACAGAAAGTCCACATCTATTCAAATGCTGAAGTAGGGGTGGGATGCCTCCAAGTATAAATCTACAGCAACTCTGTTCTCAGACAATTTGGTGGCACATGGTTGGGTATATGAGGGATAGATACATGCCTACTTAACTTAATTTTTTAAAAAAGAAAGTAACAATGCTTTCAAGAAAACCAGATTTAAAAGAAAAAATGTGTGATTGCACATGATATGATATTAAGCAAAAAAAGGGTCCAGATACAAATTTATATGTATGGTATATTTACTTCATTATATATATACTACAGAAGGAAATTATAGAAGAATATACACCAAAATATGATCAGTGGCTGTTTCCAGGGTATAAGCAAGTCTATAGATGATTTTAAATTTTCTCCTTTTTTTCTACAGTGAGCCTGTATTGCTATTCTATTTTAACTATACATATTAACTTTGCATAATAAAAATATACATGATAGTTATATAGTATATAAAATGATTGTGTATGTATATAAATATATATGTATGTATATTATTTCTTGAATATTTAAACACAGACACTTAGATGAAGACAAAAAGGCAGACATGTAGTGACTCCAGGTCCCCTTTTTCTGTCTGAGGGATGCCCAGTCAACTGCTTAGCTAAGAGCACTCTGTCACCCTATAGCACAAGAGAGTGTCCCTCCTGCTCTTCCTCCTCACCCCACCCAGCCCCAGCCCAATGCTAGGAAATATATGCCATGGGATATAAAGCAAGGCAGTGGTCTGGAGCACCTCTCAGAAGACAGTCTGTGCTCTTGCTCCAGGGGCTCCTGCAGCCGACTGACCCCCCACCTGGCAGAATGGGTGGACTGAGCTTCAGGGGAGTGACATCAACAGGGAAGGCTCCTCCCTCAGTGGTTCCGTCCCCTTCCCTCCCACCCTGAAACCTGATTCAGCTGAAGAATGGATTACAGGAAAACTTGGCAGCTTCCCAACACTGGTGGCCCAGGCAGCGTGAGGATGCAGCCTCAGAAGGTGCTGAGAGCAGCCAGGAGAGGCAGGCTGGCTGGGACATGAGGTTGGCCAAGTGAAAACATCCTGGCCTTCAGCGGGACTCACCCTGAACACCAGTCCACTCCGAGGTCCCCACATTGTGAGAGCTCACCATGTTGCTGAAGGTGCCACAGGCACTACTGGCCTTACTTCTGCCCATGCTCCTGACACAGGGTGAAGGTAAGGCAGGGATGGAAGACAAGTAGAACTGGCTGTCTATCTACAGAGGGGTGGTAGGGGGTGCTTGATTCCTCCCAGGCTTGAGGGAAGTTGGGTTTTGGAGTGGGGACAGCTGAAGGAAAGTCAGGAATCTTACAGCAATCTTACCACATGAGTATAAGAGCATTTTGAGGTACGATGGTCCAGCTAGAAAGTTGAGGAGGTTGAGCCCTGGGTGAGAGCAGGGCTTTCTGAGAGGGGTGTGAAGCAGCCTGCTGTATTGGAAATGCATAGACACATGCAGGAGAGGGGGTTCTCTCCTCTTTACCCTGGCCCAAGCTCATCAAAAGGCAGCTCATTTGATCTACCGCATCTTGTCATAAATGGGAATGCTGTGTTCCAGACAGGGGAATGATTTATTCAAGGTCACACAGCTTGTTAGCAGCAGAGTGGAGACCAGAACTAATGTAGTGATCTTTCCTCAGCCTCACCGGTTTTGTTGCATGGGTTCTCTGGGTCTTTGTTTCCCAGTGTTTCCTTCCAGAGCTCAACTCCAGTAACTCAAAACCTTTCTCTGCATTCCTGCCCCTCCTTCCTGCCTCTAAGGTGGATACAGGGTGTTTTAGTTATCCAAAGATCTGTTTCCTTTGCTGCAGACAGTATTTATTCTCCATTTTAAAAGGTTTTCTTCTCATCCAGAGTTGGGTTGAACTGGGGTTGGGGTACAATTAGGCTGGACATGGGGCTGGGCAGATATGAAGGGCTTACAGGCACGATGCTTTTTAGGCCCTGTGAGTTACTAGGGAAGCTCAGCGGAGCAATCAAGCCCAGGCTACAAAGTTATGACTGTCCTGGCACTTCCCTCTGAAAAATGGCCCCTTCCTCCAAGGCTCTCTTCAAGTGGTCTGAATCCCAGGCAATCGTATCTGGGCTGTTGCTGCTATAGTGAAGATACACAGGGCTCTGGGTTTTAATCTCAGTTCCTCCACTTGTTGGGTACAATACTCACCTTTCTCAACCTTGGGAATTCTTATCTGTGAAGTGAGCTATCATGACAGACACCTCAGGGAGCTCTTCTAAGACTGAAATGAATAACGTTAACTGACATTACTCCAAAGGAAATGCTCAGTAAATGCTCTCTTATCTTTACTCTCTGTCTACTCTTCCCTGTCCTGAGGGAAGCGGGAAGTTCATCAGGGCTAGGCGGAGTGAGAGGTGGGAAGGGGACTCTGTGGGACCAGTATGCTGCACAGGCTGCATACATGCCAGACAAGATGGGAGAAGAGGCAGTACTCTTTATTTTTTTAAGATTTTATTCATTTATTTTTAGAGAGGAAGGGAAGGAGAGCAAGAGAGAAACATTAATGTGTGGTTGCCTCTCGTGTGTCCCCTACTGGGAACTGGCCTGCAATCCAGGCATGTGCCCTGACTGGGAATCGAACTGCAATTGTGTAGTTCGCAGGCCCGCGCTCAATCCACTGATCTACACCAGCCAGGGCAAGGCAGTGCTCTTTAGAGAAAGCCAGGCCTGCTGGTCTCACCCTGCCAGTCCCCTCAAGGCCTTGTGGCCCATACCCTGGTCTTCTAGGGTGCTCCTCTCCCCGACAAATGCCTTTCACTTTCATATTTCTTGTTACCTTTCAGGAAGTGCTTCTAGTATTTTCCAGAAGGACATCTGAGGTGCACGTGAAATCCCCAGAGAATTGGGTTAGGGCCTAGGAGGTCAGTTTTCTCGTCACAGTTTTGTCCTTGCAGGTCTCTTGCTCTGGGAAAAATTTGGTCTCTCCTTGCTTCCTCCACACCTCACCCCAACCCTGTTCCTAACCTCATCAAATTTCCCACCCAACAAGGAAACTGGCAAATATGTATGTATATTTCCCACCCAACTGGCAAACCCTCTCCCAGGACTTTGTGTATATGTGGATACAGGAGAGAGGAGATTCTTGGAGTGGATTTTGCAAGTAGGAGAGGAGATGTCATTTTTCACTGGATGCCCACCCTTCTTTTTTTGTCAGCTGCAAGCTGAGGTCAAGAAGACAACAAGCTGTGTGGACACTGAGATTGACCTTGACTGAGGCAAATCCTCCTGCAGATCTCTGGGGTTAGAAATTGTGTACTTGGGACCACTTTTTTGGTACCCCTCTCACCTTCCAGTATCACATACGCAGGGCCAGCTCCTCTTTATTTCCCCAGAGCCCCTCAACCGGGGCCCCACAGGATGACCTCCTCTGTGCAGGTTCCTTCTCTCAACATTTCTTGGCCCTTGGCCTACTTCAGACCTCACCTGTCTTGCAATCCATCTCTGCAATCCATCTCTTTCTCTTGCAATCCATCTCTGTCTCTCGTGTAAATTAATATGTAGGTTACACTTATGAGATAATACTTTTGAATTTTAGAGGAATCTCTGCAGATAAAGTGGAAATTTCAGTTTGTGAGGTTATCTGGAAATCTTGTGAGGCGACTCAAGGATCTGATGTCCACTGTGAACTGTTCTTCCCAGCCAGGCATAGACGGGGCCTCCAGGCCCATAACACCTCCAGGCCCGCTCTGCACAGGCTGTCAGATCACCTCCTGACCAACTACAAGAAGAGTGTGAGACCAGTACGGGACTGGAGGAAGCCAACCACCGTATCCATTGATGTCATTGTCTATGCCATCCTCAGCGTGGTGAGTGCTCAGCCCCAATATGTCCCAGCTCAGAGGTGGCAGATTGAGGTGGGAGGCCATGTGAAACCAAGTCATCCAGTGGGCAGCATGGTGGACATTCAAGTACCCATAGTACCTGTGGCCTGGCATCATGCATGGCTCAGGACAGACTGCAGCACTCACCTCCGACAGAGATACCCAAACCAGAAAACTGGAGTCACCTATGTGACTGCCTCTCCCACCCTCCTACAGCCAGCAGGTCGCTTGCTACATGTGGATCTTCACACATTGCACCACGTCTCCCTTTGTAAGCTGTGTAAGGGTTTGGACCGCCCTACTCACCTCTGTGCCCTGCATTACACAGGTCCCTGGTACATGGTGGGTGTTATTCAATAGTTGTAGAGTGAGTTAATCATAAATCAATTAATTGTTGATTCTTTCATCAATTACACTAGTAGGATGGGGTGCACTGCCAAGTACAGGAGGTCGGACATTGGGCAGAGATGAACAAGAAGGCAATTGCAGAGAAGCAGGCTATTGTGTTGGATTAGGGTGAGCAGAAGCTGACGTCACAGTCCCCATTGCAGTCCATGTGGCTGTTTTGGAAAGGGAAGCTGCTAATTGAATGGGAGAGAAGGAGAGTGATGAATTTTTTACTCTGTGTGGTTTTGTACCCCATGACTTCATACTAGGGCAGGAGATAGATATAAATTTGTGTATGTATAGTATTGTTATATGTGCTTTGAATTATTATCTTCTATTACTTTGTACATATCATATATGTAAAATATAGTAGAAGATAATAAAAGGTATATATAACTGCATGTCTATGTGGATGAAGAAAGAATCATTGTATTTCTTTCTATATGTATCCTAGTAAAAGACCAACTTTTCCTGGCTGGCCCTTCTCCTGCCCCTTTTCTTCACTCTCACTTCTCAAGTAATCGTGGACACAAAGTAGCAGCTTTTCCTGGGGTTCATGTGTGTAGGGTGGACCCCAGCCCACAAGGCCACCTATGCCAAGCTCCCTTTCCTTTCCCAGGATGAGAAGAATCAGGTACTGACCACCTACATCTGGTACCGGCAGGTGAGCAGGCCAGCCCTTTGCCCTCCACCTCATTTCCTGGGACAGGACTTACCCTTCCAAGAGGGATTGCTCCACTTCGGGGTGTTGGGAACTTCAGAGGCCTTGATGAGGGAAGGTGGGGGGAGGTTCATGGGCGTATTCAGCATGAGATCCAGAAGGCTGGGCTCCCCTAACTCAGGACTGGGAGTGGAAGGGAACTGAAAGATCAGTGCAGAAAAAATCCTCTGAATCCCCTCTGGGTCCTACAGTTCTTCATGGCATCCCAAACCAGTGCGTGTCCAACCTTTGCTGAATGAACACCTTCAGTGACTGGGGACCCAGAGGCAGCTACTTTACTTTCAAGCAGCTCTAATTGCTAGGAAGTCTTCTTTCTATTAAGCCAAACTGGACAACAACCAAACTGGGCGATTGAAACAGGATAAACCATCCACTCAGTCTTCATGTCCTTGGCCATTTCCCAGTCTTCCAGCAACTGATGGTCATTGGTTAGGTAGTGATGTGTGGAATTTCTGAGGCCTTGGCAGCAATTCTGGCTTGGAGCTGGTGAGGAGGGCAGGCAAACAATGGTGGCTGCAGTCCACAGGTGTGTCGTGCTCTGGTAGTAACTGGGCATGTGGGGCAGGTGTCAGAACAGAGGGAAAGCCAAAACAGCTCAAGGCAGGGGCAGAAGAGGGTAGGCAGGGAGAGAGGGCAGTTCATAGAGGTCAAGCCTGAGAGAGACTCTGAGTACATGCCTGACATACAAGGGTTTCTGTTAAATCTCTCCCTGCCCTTCCTGGACACACTGCACCACAACCAGCTTATGGGACAGAAAGTGGGGCAAAAGAAGAATCCAGAAACTGATTCCTGACACACTGCTCCCTTTCTGTCTCAGAGAGATCTGAGCATGCCCTGCCACAGGTGAAGGGACCCAAGCAAGAATAGGCATCCTGGGACTCTTTTCCTGGGACACAGTGCCTAGATACCACCTCTGGGCCTCTAGAGTCACTTGTCTGCCCCTGCAGTGAGGGGATGCCAGTCTCTACAGGCTAAGGGACTGGAATTAGAGACACTAACCAGACCCACAATGAGCTCACAGACTAGTGCAGACCACAGATGCATGAACAGACAATTACATGCAGCCACCCCAAGACAACAAGGCAAGATGTCAAGTATGAAAGCACAGAGGAAGCTCATAAGCCTGCCTTGGGAGTAAATAGACAGTGCCTTAAGCCTAGAAAGGTGAGTAAGACTCACCTTGATAAAGAAAACAGAGATTATAGTATGGGAGAGGGGCCAGGGTATTTAGAGACGTGGAGGTTTCCACAGCATTTAATTCCATGTGGCTGGAGTGTAGACTTCACAGAGAAGCATGGCAAAAAAAAAAAAAAAAAAAAGGTAGAGACAGATATGTAAGTCTTCGTTGACCACAGGTTTAACTTCATGTTATTGCCAATGAGGTACCACTGAGGAATTTTAAGCAAAAGTGCAACATGATAGAATTTACATTGTATGTTTCTATAATGGTATTATGCATTATATTCTGTTTTATAACCTTTACGATGTTTGTTCTCTGCTTTTTTCCTAGTGATTTGAAAGATATCCTTATTTTAATCTAGTCATGCTTGTATTCACTTCACACTATTTTGTCTAGTTATCAATGATAATAAATAAATATAGTCTATATGCTTCTGAACCATACACCCAATATTTAGTAGGCCAGTCCTCATAGACCACTTCCACTGACCCACCATCCTTTTCCCATGTTTTCAAATAGAATGTGAAATAATCAAATACAGATCTATTTTAGGTCAGTTATTCTGGCAGGATAGTGGAGAAAGCATTGACCAAACTTAGCAGTAACCTTCTCTGCCCTGTGAGGTGCTTGCTATTATCCCCATTTATGTATGTGCAGACCATGACCCAAGAAAGTATTTGTTTAAGATCCCTCAGTTGGTGGCAGGGGATTCAAGACATTAGAAATGACTGAATGCTTTCACTGGGAGAGGATACAGCTATCTTGTGTTTGCATATAGGGAGTGCATGAGTGCAGATGTGGGAGGCTCTCAGGTACCCGAGTGTTTTGGGTGCCAGTGACACCCAGATTTCTCCAAGAAGATACCTACCTGTCTCCTGGCACTGAGTGGTGAAGTTAGCCTGAGCTGGGGACAAGTCCCGACCAAGACAGAGAGGGCTGCCCCTGACCATTCCTGCTCCTTCTCTAGTACTGGACTGATGAATTTCTCCGGTGGAACCCCGAGGACTTCAACAATATCACCAAGCTGTCCATCCCCACAGACAGCATTTGGGTCCCGGACATTCTCATCAATGAGTTGTGAGTACTGCCCTCAGATGCTAGCGGCCAGGTAGCTCCCAGCTGGGGAAGGCTGGAGCAGGGAGACCAGGTCACTATTGCTGCGTTAGGGATGTCCCACCCAGACTTGTAGAGCAGTAGGTCAATTAGCTTGGGTCCAAATTCCCTGTTGTCGTTCTCTTTTCTTTTTGAAAACTCCTCTTTTTTCTACGATTAATGTTGAAACCCCACACTTCTTGATCTATGGGCCCCTTCGTAGGGAAAGGAAGCCAGTGAAAGAATTCACACTTATAATAGCCAATGAGGAACAGCTGCATTTTTAAAGGGACAGTAATGTTACTGAAAAGAATGAAGTGCTGGTGGTGGCCACTGCTCCTGGCCACAAGGGAGATGCGGGGTTAGGAGACAGTGACATCTCTCAAGTCACACATGTGCCTGACCAGCCATGAATTGCACCTTCAATCTGAAGTGGGTCCCACTAGCCTTTATTCTCAGCAGCCAGACACTGTATCTTTGGTCCCAGCCAACATTCCTTCTCCCCATCCTTCAGGTTCCTTCAGGTTTCAGTGCCCAGGCTTCTGGGGCCAGTGCAGAGAACATGGCTGGGGGAGACAGATGGAAGGAGAAGGTGGTAGGGTCAGCAGTCATCTCCCACCCAGGACCCACTGCATTGCCTAACTCCGGGGGTGCCACTCACACTGTTTTTCATGAGAGGCAGTTGACCTACAGCCTGTGCCCTGCATAGTTCAGGCCAGAGAGATTCAGGGAGATTCCAGTTTCTGGCCACAGTGAAGCAGCTTTAGTCTTCAGTTCTCATCTCTCAACCCAATTCCACAGAAGGCTGCAGGCTCAGGACCCCCGGTTCAGACCACTGCATGCAACAGTGGTCACTTGGGAGACCCTGGGGGTCAGGAATCTGCTGAGAAAGCAGAACAAAGTCTCTACCTTGCCCCAATTCTTCTCAATGATTTTTCTAGTTCCTTTTCCTCCAGAGATAATTAGTCTCATTTCACAGGACTTCTAGCAATGGGAGGTCAGGACAAGCCCAAGTCAGGGTGAAACCCACCAACCTGCCCGTTGCCACAGGACTGGTCACCCTGGGAGTGGAGCTCTGTGCAGGATAGAGGGGGGCAGCATAAGGACAGCTGAGCGTACTCCTTGGAGTCTGTGGCATTTGGGGTCCATGGATCATGCCTGCATTTTGTGGCTAGGTTGCCAGAGGGATAAAGGAGAAATGCCTTTATTCAGGAATACATGACAAGTAGCCATGCATTATCTAAGATAGGTAAGAAGGTTAGAAAAACAGAGTCCGGGCAAAACTGTCCTGCTGCCTTGGCCCTTCCTGAATTTCTTTCCCTGCTGGGTGTCTTGGAGACGTTCAGACTCCCAGGGCTTGATCTGCTTTTAAGCCCCAAACTAACCCTTCGTTTTTGGCCAGTGTGGACGTGGGGAAGTCTCCAGATATCCCATATGTATATGTCCAACATCACGGTGAGGTCCAGAACTACAAGCCCCTCCAGGTGGTGACTGCCTGCAGCCTCGACATCTACAACTTTCCCTTCGATGTGCAGAACTGCTCCCTGACATTCACCAGCTGGCTGCACACCAGTGAGTACAGGGGTGCCTTCTACAGGCGCAGAGGGGGCCAGGGGCACCTGAGCAAGGAGCCCACCCTGGATGCAGTCTCCCTCACCCAACTTACTTACTTATCACTTATTTCTTTTTATCACTCTCTCTCTCTCTCTTTTTTTTTTTAGTTTCATTGATTCCTAGAGATGGGACATTGTACACTGTGTAAGAATATATTCAAACAGTTATTAAATTCTATACATGGGGCTCAAGAACAATACCAATAAGTTCCCTGATGAACTGGAACTGTTCCTGTACTTTCTTCACATTTTGTTTCTCTTTGCTGTTGTTGTGTAATATTTTCAAGAAAAGCAGCAAAATACCGATGAAAAAGCAGTCACAGCTACCACCCTGGTGTTTGGGAGACCTGGGTTCTGGTCCTGGCTCCACCCTGTTCCCACCCACTGTGTGACTTGAGTAATATCTGCTCTGAACGTCACTTCCCTCATCAGTAAAATGAGTTTTAAGCCAGCCATGCAATTTTTAATGGTACTCAGGAGACTACAAGGGTGCTTTACCGGTTTTTACAAATACCCAGTATTAATCTCACAGGTTCTAGGGCTTAAATATCCATCCATATGCACCATCAAAGTTTCCTTTTTTGCTTATTTAAATAGTTTTATTGTCCTCAGTGACTGACATTATAATCTTCTCTGTTTTTTTAATGTTACTCAATTTCATACTTAATATATCAAGATGAGGATTTCTTTCTTTTTTCTTTTTTTTAACCCACTTGCAATTTACTGGGTTTCTTCTATCTGAGGATTGGAATCTTTCAATGATCCGGGAAAGTTCTCAGCCTTTATGTCTTCAAATATTTGTCCTTCTTCTATCATGTCCTTCTGAAATTCCAAATAGATACAGGTTAGACTGTCTTTTTCTCTCCTCCGTGTCTCTCATTCCCTCTGGCACAGATTCCACCTCTATGCATCTCTGGACTGCATTCCAAACAGGGCCTTCAGGTCTACTTTCTAGCTTACCGGCTCTTCATCTGAGTGCGATCTGCTGTTTAGTCAGTCCACGGAGCTTTAATCTCAGTAATGCATTTTTCATTCCTAGGTAGTCTATTTGGATCTTTTTAAAATCCATTTGTTCTTTGTCCACATTTTCAGTCTCTTCAGAACTGTAACCAAATGTATTAAACTCAGTTAATTTTTAAGCGATTGATTTATTTGTTTTTATTGAGGTAAAATATACCTAACATAAGATTTATCATTTTAACCACTTTAAGCGCACAGCTCTGTGGCATTCAGTCCATTCACATTGCTGTGCAATCATCAGCACCATCCCTCTCCAGAATTTTTTATTTTTTAAATATATAATCTTTATTATGTTTTTCCCATTAAAATTTAGTCCCCTTATACCCTCCTCCCCCCAGCAATCACCACCCTGTTGCCCATGTCCTTGAGTCCTTTTTCCTTTTTTTTCTTTTTTTTAAAATTTTTTTATTGATTATGCTGTTACAGTTGTTCTATTCCCCCCTTCATTCCCCTCCACCCTACCCCCCATCCCCACCATTACCCCCCCTTTAGTTTATGTCCATGTGTCTCAAGTTCTTTAGATTCTATATTTCCCATGCTATTCTTGCCCCCCCCCATTTATTTTCTATCTACTGTCTATGCTACTTATTTTCTGTACCTTCTCTCCCCTTCTCCTCCTCCCACTCCCCTGTTGCTAACCCTCCTTGAGATCTTCATTTCTATGTTTCCACTGCTGATCTAGCTGTCCTTTTAGTTTGCTTTTGTTTTAGGTGTGGTTGTTAATAACTGTGAGTTTGCTGTCCTTTCACTGTTCATATTTTTATCTTCTTTTTCTTAGATAAGTCCCTTTAATATTTCATATAATAAGGGCTTGGTGATGATGAACTCCTTGAATTTGATCTTATCTGAGAAGCACTTTATCTGTCCTTCCATTCTAAATGAAAGTTTTGCTGGATAGAGTAATCTTGGTTGTAGGTCTTTGGATTTCATGACTTGGAATACCTCTTTCCAGCCCCTTCTTGACTGGAAGGTCTCTTTTGAGAAATGCGCTGACAGTCTGATGGGGACTCCTTTGTAGGTGACTGTCCCTTTAGCTCTTGCTGCTTCTAGGATTCTCTCCTTCATTTTAATCTTGGCTAATGTAATGATGATGTGCCTTGGTGTGTTCCTTCTTGGGTCCAACTTCTTTGGGACTCTCTGAGGTCCCTGGATTTCCTGGAAGTCTATTTCCTTTTCCGGATTGGAGAAATTCTCCTTTATTATTTGTTCAAATAAGTTTTCCACTGGTGGCTGTGCCTTTCCCCCTTCTGGTACCCCTACAATTCGGATGTTGGAGCGTTTAAAGATGTCCTGGAGGTTCCTAAGACTCTCCTCATTTCTTTGAATTCTTGCTTCTTCACTCTTTTCTGTTTGGCCATTATTTGCTTTCTTCTGGTCCACTCCATTGATTTGAGTCCCAGTTTCCTTTTCATTGCTATTGGTTTCCTGTGCAATTCCATTCATTTCAATTTGTTTCTCCTTCATATATTTGTCTAATTTGTGGCTATAATCAACCAGTTCTGTGAGGATCCTGATGACCAGTGTTTTAAACTGTGCGTCTGAGAGTTTTGCTATTTCTTCATCACTTAGATTTATAGGCTGTGGGGCTTTGAGATCTTCTTGAGCCGTTTTTGGTCTGTTTGCACCCTTTAAGTGTGAGGAGAGGAGCGTTGGACTACCAGGTCGCTGGGTTGTGACGCTGTATGTGGGGGCGTGGTCAGAGCCGGGAAATGGCGGCACCTTCTGCTGTTTCGCACCGCTGGGTGAGGAGCAGAGGCTTAGGTGGTTCACCTGGGCCGGGCCACTCAGAGTCGCTGGGTTATGTCGCTGTATGTGGAGGTGGGGTCAGAGCAGGGAAATGGCAGCGCCCTCCCTGCCACTTGCCCTGGGGACCGGCTGGGTCCCGGTCCAATCGCCCACTTTCTTGCTTGTCTATCCTCGAACCAATGCGCAACCACAGTCAACCCGCAGCCCTGCTTCCTCGCTGTTTCCCCCGAGGTCGCTCACTCGGTCACTCACTAGGTCCAACCCTGTGCCTGGATTCCGTGCGCCTGAGTCCGTCTGACCGAGTTTGCCTGTGCAATCCTGCTCCACCAGCTGCTGGTTTCGCCCCTTTCTGGTCAGGCTGAAGAATTTGTTGTTAACAGACTTCCAAAAAGTTCAATTTTCTGTGTTCTGGCTGCGTTTTCTGTTGCTAATATTTAGTTGTCTCTAAACTTGGTTGTGTGAGAAGGCACGGCGTCTCCACCTATGCCTCCATCTTGGCGGAAGTCCCCTTTTTCCTTTTTGCTCAATCCCTCCCCCTGAACTAGCTAACATCTACGAGTCTGTCTCTGTTTTGCATGTTAATTCAGTTTGTTCATTAGATCCCACATATGAGTGAAATCATATGGTATTTGTCTTTCTCTGACTGGCTTATTTCACTTAGTGTAATGTTCTCCAGGTCCATCCATGCTGTCGAAAAAGGTAAGGTTTTCTTTTTTATGGCTGAGTAGAATTCCATTGTGTGAATTTCCCATAGTTGTTTTATTTTTTTAAGGTTTTGTTTATTTTTACAGAGATGGGAAGAGAAGGCGATAGGGAGAGAAATGTGTGGTTGCCTCTCATGTGCTCCCTACAGGTGACCTGGTCTGCAACCCAGGCATATGCCTGAGTGGGAATCAAACCGGCAACCCTTTGGTTCACAGTCCCACACTCAATCCACTGAGCTGCACCAGCCAAGGCCCATAGTTGTTTTATCAATTCATCTGTTGATGGACACTTGGGCTGCTTCCATATCTTGGTGATTGTAAATAACAGTGCAATAAACGTAGGGGTGCTTATGTTCTTTCAAATTAGTGTTTTGGGTTCTTCAGTTATAGTCCCATCACTTATTTTCTTAATACACTAAGCCACTACTTCCTTGTCCTCCAAATGGGATTAATATGGTTGCCCTATGTTTCCTTCAGTCATTATGCTGGTTGAATGAGACCATTTGAACTGACTGAAGACACTCAGTAAGGACCAATTCTTTCCCAGTATCACTAACAGAATCTGGCACTCAGTGTTTCCCAAAGCCACCCACTTCTCCTCTCCACTGATGGATGCACCCTCCCCTAATGCTTTCTTATCTTTCCTCTCTCTCTGATCTTCCCTGTCCTGAGGGAAGTGGGAAGTTTGTCAGGGATAGGCCAGTGAGAGGTGGGAAGGGGACTCTGTGGGACCAGTGTGCTGCACAGGCTGCATACATGCCAGACAAGATAGGAGAAGAGGCAGTGCTCTTTAGAGAAAGCCAGGCCTGCTGGTCTCACCCTGTCAGTCCCCTCAAGGCCTTGTGGCCCATACCCTGCTCTTCTAGGGTGCTCCTCTCCCCAACAAATGCCTTTCACTTTCATATTTCTTGTTACCTTTCAGGAAGTGCTTCTAGTATTTTCCAGAAGGACATCTGAGGTGCACATGAAATCCCCAGAGAATTGGGTTAGGGCTTCCTTGTGGGTCCCCTCCTTCATTCTTGTCCACTCCAATTCATGCTCCTCAGAGCAAGTGGAGATCTTAATTAAAATATAGATCTCATCATATCTCTCTGTGCTTAAAACCCTCAAGAGCTTCCCAGCACTGCTGAAACCAAAACCTCCACCTAGCCAACAGGGCCCTGCAAAGTCTGGACAGGCCCACAGTCCATTCCTCTAGGCCTCATTTCACTCCCCGAGATCTGCTCCAGGCCAGCTGCCTCCTTCCCAAGCCCACCACACCTCTTCTTTCCCTTTATCGCATGTGCTTCATATCCTAGGCCACCTTGTCCCTACTACTCCCTCTCCTGCTTCCTTCTTGTTCCATTCCTGCCCCCACCACACTTGGACTGGCCAACTCCTTCACTCACCTTTGAATCACAGCCTCAGCGTCAGTTCCTTGGGGAAGCTCCCTGTCAGTCCCGAGATTAGACATCCCAATGCCCAAATTTAGAGCCTCCTGTTTGTCTTCCACTTCTATTGCATTTGTGAGTACTTGTTCAATGTCTACTTCTCTACCAGATATAAACAGAGAGAGGGCAGGGCCATGATTCTTTTCCACCATTAGATGCCCGTCACAGTACCTAGCACAGGCAGGGTCCCGAGAGACTTATATTGAATGGACAAACACGAGCTGCTCATTAAGGTCTGTGGAAGTGAGTGTCACACTACTGCAAAAAGACCCCCTCCATTTCTATTCTTATTTTATTACATTTACTGTGAGTTGCAAAAGTGTTATGTAACTTCCTTGAACAAAACCCAAAATTACAAATGATCTTTGAACTTTGACTTTTACCCTCATTTCCAAACTCTCCACAACTCCCCACACCGAGGCTTCACTGTCAGCAGTGTAAATGTCAGATCCTTCTCCATCCTTTGCACGTACACACATACAACACATGTATGGAAAGTACATGGAAATGATAGGTTTTTACATAAATGTATCATTTAAGCTACCGCTACTTGTTTCTTTTTCTCAACAAGAGACGTGGGACATTTTTCCAAGCTAATGCATATTTAGATATCCCTCACAAACTCTCACTGCTGTGGAATGCCCCATGGTTTGGAGTTTATTAGGTATTTTCTTGATTGGTGGACTTTTAGGTCTTTCCCATTATCTTACTGAAATGGATATTACTGTCCTAGTGTGTGTATATATCTGTTTCTTTAGTATAGATACAGAGACACTAAACCATTGTTCTGGAAGTGGGGGTTTTGCTTGTTTCCTTATCCAGGCAGCTCTATGAAGGCAAAAAGGGGAACAGTATTGACTTTTTTTCATTTTCCAAAAGGATAAATCTAGCAGGAAAACCCAGAAATATGAGCAAAAAGTGTGTGTGTTGGTGGGGAGGGCTTTTTAAGAAATGGTTTGTTTGGTCCGTTGCATTTTGCTATGTGTTTCATTCAAGACTTCATTTCCCTCACCACAGCCCTATTACACAGATGGGTACAGTATGCACAACTACTTCAGTTTATAGCTGAAGAAACTGAGGCTGCAGATTAAGAGCTGAAACATACTAAGCTGTGTGGTTGCTCCAGACACCAGATTCCACAGCTGGCTTATTTCTTCCCTCTCAGTCCAGGACATCAACATCTCCCTGTTGCGCTCACCAGAAAAAGTGAAGTTTGACAAGAGTGTCTTCATGAACCAGGGCGAGTGGGAGCTTCTAGGGGTGCTGACCCAGTTCCGGGAGTTCAGTATGGAAAGCAGTGACTGCTATGCAGAAATGAAGTTCTATGTGAGTGGAATAGGGAGTGGATGTGGGGAAAATAATGACCAGAACTACTGGATTATCATACCCAGGTAGCCTTAAGGAGGCACAAGTGGAGGAACCCATGGGTCAGGAATGTGACCCTGACCTTTGCCCAAGTCCAGGCTCCCATTCATCTCACAATCACTTCAATGAGGGAGATGGACAACAACCGAATTGTTCCTCATTTATCCTGAACAGCCACAAGCCTGTATCCAGAGGCATGATATGGGGGTCCATGTCCTTCTCTGAACAAATCAGGTTGAAAGCTTTACCAAGCAAGGGGGTCAGGGATGAGGTGGTGGTTCCTGGCCACCACCCCATCCCTGGGGTGGTTCCTGCCCCAGACTCCCCCCAGACCTCTTTCCTGGTCCCAGGTGGTCATCCGCCGGCGGCCCCTATTCTATGTGGTCAGCCTGCTGCTGCCTAGTATCTTCCTCATGGTCATGGACATTGTGGGCTTCTACCTGCCCCCAGAGAGTGGTGAGAGGGTCTCCTTCAAGATCACACTCCTTTTGGGCTACTCTGTCTTCCTGATCATTGTGTCTGATACGCTGCCAGCCACTGCCATTGGCACTCCACTCATTGGTAAGGCCTGCTCCTGGGGAAGATCTTGGTGTGGCTGAGGACGCAAGGAATGGACCACTCCCACCTCCTGTATGTGTTTTCCCCTCTCTCCCCCATGCTGGGGCACACAGGTGTCTACTTTGTTGTGTGCATGGCTCTCCTGGTGATAAGCTTGGCTGAGACCATCTTCATCGTGCGGCTGGTGCACAAGCAAGACCTGCAGCAGCCTGTGCCTGCCTGGCTGCGGCACCTGGTTCTCGAGAAAGTCGCCCTGCTGTTTTGCCTAGGGGAGCAGCCAACTTCCCATAGGTACCACTCCCAAGCCTCCAAGACTGACGATTGCTCAGGTGAGAGGGAATGGGAGAGTCCTATATGAAGGGGCCACTTCTGACCTGGATGCAAGGACATGGTGGAGGGTCTCTGGAGGATATACCATGCCCAAGAGGCTGGGCAGGGCCTGGGAATCAGGCAGTGCCCTGCACATGGCATCCCACACACAACCTCACTGGGAGGGGGCAGCCCAAAGTGTCAATCTTTCTGCCCCTTCATGTGCTCTTATCAGTCCTGGTGTGTGGACAGGGTAAGAGTAGGAGTCCAAGAGGCCAAGCTGAGATTTCCAGGCTGAGAGTGGCTTCTCTCTGAGGACCCAAAATTGGATCAAATAGATGCCCCTCAGGTAGTTATCTGCCTTCTTGCACCACGTGGTTAAATATTGCAGCCAGGATCTCTAAAATGCTCTAAATCTTTTAAAAATTTTTCTTATTTATTTACTTTTTTAGATAAAGGGGGGGAGGGAGAAAGAGAGGGAGAGAAACATCGATGTGCAAGATTGATTGGTTGCCTCTCCCACACCCCCAACTGGGGACCTGGCCTGCAACCCAGACATGTGCCCTGACTGGGAATCAAACCAATGACCTTGATTCACAGGCCCAACCCTCAACCCACCGAGCCACACCAGCCAGGGCTAAAACTCTCTAATTCTAATCAGCTCAAAGAACCTTAGAATTTTAACTACCTATGAGGCGGAGAGACAGGGGTGCAGAGGGACACTAAGTGTGGAGCTCATACCCCCTGAGGAATTCTTACAGTAAGCAGCCATTTGCTGGTGGTCGTGGGGGGTGGTTTGTTGGTTTATTTTGAGCATTTGGGACCAGGCACGTGCCAAGCATTTTCTGTGCCTTACCCCAGTGGTGGCCCACTAGGATTCTCATCCTCATTTTTCAAATGAGGACACAGGGGTACATAAAGGCCAAATAATTGCTCTAAGTCACAGAGCCAGGAACTGGTAACGTGTGATTTGAAATCAGGCCCACCTGACTCGAAGCTAGTGTTTTAAACCACTTTACCCCACCCCATTCCTTTTTGTCCCTTCCTCTGGCAAGAAGGCCAGGCCTTCTGCAGAAGATGTTCCATTAACCTAAGACCATCTCATCATGATCTACTGAGCTACAGCAATAATTTTCCTCTCATGGCACATATAAACTAATTACTAAAATTCTGCAGCACACCGAAATATATGGTATATTTTTTAGCAGACCTGACAAAAGAATAGGTATAAGTTTGATTCATCCATACTGGATGTTTATTGTTGTTTTGGCAGTTATCATTTTTTTGTATTTCACAATCTAGGGGTAAAGAGGTCAGTGCCCCGACTCAATAGTCAGGTATTGCATGTTTTAAAAATTCTTGCAGTGCACCAGTGGGTCTCAGCACACCTGCTGAAAATTGCTGAATTCGGGCACCAGCCTAAGGCCCAGTCTCCCTTGGCAAAGGCAGTCACGTCTGAAGGTGTGTTTTCTGGCGCAGGAGGACTCAGAGTCATGGAGATAAGGGGGCCGAGGCACTATGGCATCATGGAGAGAGCAGTGGGTTCAGGCGCTAGATATCTAGGCCCTGGTGACCACACTATTAAATATTGCTCCAGCTTTGTGACCACATGCTAGTCACTTAACCTCTCTGAGCTTTAGCACATTCATACAAAGAGTGTAGATAATTATTTACCCTACTCTGCTCTTTCATGGGACTGTTGTAAAGTTCACGTGAAATAATGAAAATCAAATTGCTGGGGAAAGCCCATGAGTTGTTTTTTTTTTTTAAGGTGCATGGGGGCCTGTGAACCAGAGAATTGTGGTTCGATTCCCAGTCAGGGCACATGCCTTGGTTGCAGGCCAGTTCCCAGCAGGGGACACGCAAGAGGCAACCATACATTGATATTTCTCTCCCTCTCTCCTTCCCTTCCCTTCTAAAGATAAATGAATGAAATCTTTAAAAAAACATTTTTTTAAAGGTGCATGGGAAAAATAAACACCAAATTCATGATGCTGGTGACTTGGGGAGGGGAGAGAGGACGTGACTAAGGAGGGAATACAGGAATCTTCAGTTGTATTGGCCTTCTTAATTTGCTTAAGTTGGATGGTGGGTAGATAAACATGTCAGTTATTAACGATACTCTTTATGCCTGAAGTTGTTCATAATAAAAATTTCTGTAGGCTAAAGAAACCTAAGGGACAAGCCATCTGGCTGGGGGTCCCTTCCTTGCCAATACTCTTCTCCTTCTAGACATGGGAAACCACTGCAGCCATGTGGGCGGACCCAGGGATGTGGACAAAACCCTGAGGGGCAGAGGCAGCCCTCCCCCACCGCCACGAGAGACCTCCCTGGCTGTGCGTGGGCTGCTCCAGGAGCTGGCCTCCATCAGGCACTTCCTAGAGAAGCGTGAGGAGAGTCGAGAGGTGGCCCGGGACTGGCTGCGCGTGGGCTCCGTGCTGGACAGGCTGCTCTTCCGCGTGTACCTGCTGGCAGTGCTGGCCTACAGTGTCACCCTGGTCACACTCTGGTCCATCTGGCAGTATTCCTGATAGGCACAGCCCAGCAGGGGGAAGGTACGACTTAGGGTGGGGATGGGGGTTTTCAGGGCTCAGGGAATGCCAGGGGTATTCTCAAAACACATACACAGTTCCATCGCCATTTCCAATGCCAATTTGCCTCAGCAATCCCAAACCAGGGCCTTAAACGAGGGCCTCCCCCAAAACCTTAGTGTTCAAGACCCTTACAATCTCCCCCACACCCACCTGTCCATCATGGCTTTAAAACAAGTTGCCTTAGAACAGAAGGAACCCATGCATCCCCTAACTTCACTCTATGTACCTATGCATTAAGCCCTGGTCTTTCCACTGGCACCTTCCTAAATAAGGCACTTTGGAATTCTGCTCACCTCCCTCAATGTTGTTTTTAGATTGAAGGCGCCAATGGAAACCAATCTACTACTCGGGCGTGATAACTACATTAGGTTCATCCAACTCTAACTTCTCCTTCTTCACCTCACCTGTGACCACTTCTCTGAACACTCATGTGTCATCAGATGGTGGGGGTGGGGGAAATAAAATGTGATAAATCCCCTCTTGTTGACCATTTGTCAGGATCTGGGTGTGTGGATGAAGAAATTTAGAGTTACTGGTGAAAATGAGGTTGGAGGATTAGCTGTGGTTTCCATTGTTTGGTGCTTCCTGCCCCTAAGGAGTCGGGCGGTGACCAATGATGGCTGTTGTAAAGAAGAAACAGCCCTGACTGGTGTGGCTCAGTGGGTTGCGCATTGTCCTGCAAATCAAAAGATCACTGGCTGGATTCCTGGTCGGGGCACATGCCTGGGATGTGGGCCAGGTTCCTAGTTGGAGGCAACCAACTGATGTTTCTCACCCTCTCTTTCTCCTTCTCTTCTCCTCTCTCTAAAAATAAATTAATTAAAAAAAAGAAAAAGAAGAAACAATTGGAGGTGGGATTTAAGGCGGGAGGGTCAGGACCATGAACACCCAGCAATGGATAGGTGGGGAGGGGGCAACTCAGTTCTGCGATTTCTGGAAAGATGCGGGAAGGATCCACAGTCCTCCTGCAAGAGAATCCTACAGAGGCCATAAGAGCATCAGCACCATGGCCAGCACCAGCAGGTTTGGCCTTCGAAAGATGGAGGCAGCAGTGGTTTGATTTTTTTTTTTTTAATATCCTTTGGGAACCCTCAACAGCCAGCCCCTAGCACATCTGCCAGCAGGCAGGACCATGAGAGAGGCAGGAGGCAGCATCAGGGGCATGGTCTTTCATCTCACTTGTCACTTCTGACTCCCTCTCCCAGATGTCAGGGTTTGAGACAGGCTGAGCAGCCTCCCAACTCAGTGCATCCCCTTAACAAGCATTCAGAGGGAAGGAATGCTAAAACGCACCAGGAGTGGCCATTTCAGTGTCCTCCGTGTTTGTCTGAGGCTTGCTCTGATTCTCCCTTTCTCCTGCCAGCCATGTCCCTCCCCCTTGTGTCGGGCTGCTTGTCACTCAGAGAAAAACATACACAGGGACTGAACACACCAGGCTAAAGGGAAGGGACCCCCAAGTAATATCTGGAATGATTTGCTCCAGGTTGGCCAATTTTAAAGGATTCAGAGTGAAACACCTGAAGCTACATCTTCCCTTGATCACAAAGTTTGCAGTTCCACTTGGTAGACGATCCTGGGCAGAACTCTGGGCCCTTGGGAGCTTCATGTCTGAAAGAGCCTAGCGGCTGAGGAAGGGGGCCTCTCTGGTTCAGCTTCTGTCAGCTTCCTGTCACCCAGGTTCCTGAGCATGCTGCAAAAGCTCATTACACATTTCTAGCTGGCTGTTGGTTCCTAAGGTGAATGCCCATGAGGTATCAGGTGCTATGTTCACCCCAGAGATATGTGCTTTTGGTAGTAGTTAAGAATTTTATATTTATCTTGGTTTTGTTGGTGGTAGATATCAGGGTCTCCCAGCAAAAAGCAGTGTCTTGTGGGGCTGTAGAGTAGCCCTCATTCACAACTCTTGCTTCATACTGAGTAGAGATTGTTCATCCAATGCTCTCAGAATGGTCTCTGTGGCACATACTTTGGGGCCTGGTCTTGGGACTGGGAGCTGCCCCACTTCACTTGAACTTACTGGGCCAGTGATGCTGTGTGGAGTCTCATGTCTCAGGCCAAAGAGAGAGAAAGTTAGATAGTCTGGTGCTGTGGATGCACCACTGGCCAGGTCAGTAAGTGGGCAGCTATTGACAAAGTGTCCAACCAGATAGCTAGTAGGACACTAATCAACCTATTAATTCCTCATCTCCCCCTCCCCACCCTTCACCCACAATCATTGGGGCAACAGAGCCCAGCACTGAGGCAGCCAATTAACCACCTCAGGGATGAGCTGCCACGTGTAACATCTTCTGCTTCGCTAACCACAGCCAATCAGTTCATCAACCCACATCCAGGCTCCACTGCCCAGGGATGGGAAACTTAGGCTACAGCCAGGGAATCCCCATTGTAGTAACTCTTGTCATCAGTACTGACCTCGGTCTTCTCCCAAGGAGACCTTTAACCTGCCTGGGATATGAGAAGACCCAAAATCTTCCTCTCAACTGTATTTTTCCCAGAATCCGCTTCCTTCCCTCCCCCTGCCACTTTAGGCCATTCCTTCTCCTCTCTCCTAATCGGAGAGAGAAAATCAGACACCACCCACGTCTTTCTCAAAGCTTCTGTATCTTATCTCTACTCCTTTCTATTCACCTACGAATATTCCCAGTTCTAACCTCCCTTTCCCATCTACTCACTTTCCAAAACCTGTCACTTCTACCCAGAAGATCCCATCAAAAGTCTTGAAAGCGCCCAGCCCTCCGGAGGGCTCCACGCGCTGGAGACTGTGTAGGCATCTCAGGAGGCTGCCTTTCCTGCTGGAAGACGGCATCCCTGCTCCCTCCGGACCTCAGGGCCTGTGGCTGGATTGGACGTTCTGCAGCTTTCAGGATAGTCCAGGGAGAGTAGCTGAGCTCAGAGTCAGTAGATGGGCTTAAGGACAATTTCCCTGAGAGACTAGGAGGAGGACAAACTGCCTGGTGGGGTAAAGGAGGGGGAGGGAGAGCATGTGGAGAGGTGTTTCAGCATTCCCCAGCCAGATTCTCCTCCCTCCCCCACCTCCCCCTAGTCTCTGAATCAATACGTTTGGAATCTAATCTAATAACAGAGATTTAACGAGGGGATAATGCGTGTGCAGAGGCCTGGCGCTTTGTCTCTTCTTTCAAGCAGCAGCTGGGGCCCATTATCTGGGGACAATGCCCCATGCTAATCACTCCTCTCTCCTCCCAAGTGCTGGGGAGGGGTGGTGGGCAACAGAGGGCAGCTCCTCCCCTGATTGGAGGGGAGGGCGGGGTGGATGGGGCGGAGGGAGACAGTTGAGAAGGGCCTGGACAGGGCCCCACAATTTTGCGGACCTGACACCAACTCACGGGCCTTCTCCCCCAGCCCACACCGTCCGCCGTGCCAGGCAGAGTAGGGAGCCCCACAGTGCACACAAACAGTAGATAATTACCTTTCAGCTGCAGCACCAGTGGCTGGGAGTTGGGTGGGTTTTGCTGGGTTTTTTTCTTTCTTCTAACTCGGCCCTCTATAATTTAAGCTCTCCCATTAAGGACTGTGATTGGCCAGCCCTGCCTGCCATGGCTTGAGAATCAAACCCTGCTTCTAAAGACCATGAATACCACTCTGAAACAGAAGCCTGCTTCCACATCCTCTATCTCTTCTATCTGGGAACTGACCAAAAAAACCCCGAGCTGTTCTAAATTAAAATTACAGCGGCCAGAGAGTTGAAGAAAAGGAAAGAACAGTTAGCCTGTTAAAAGCTGTGGGTTGCTCTGACAAAAGACTGCTCACACTCTTTAGTGTATGTTGAAACTTCCGATTAATTTCCAGGTGGCTATTTCCACGATTATTCTAAAGAGAGAATAACCAGGCACCTTCGAACCGCAGGACCCTCTCCTTCTGACTTACAGATGAACTTTCCAGACTTGCCTACAACCTATCCAAGAAACCAAACTCTTCTTCCTTGGATTCTGCACCTACCCCAGCAATGCCCTCGCTCAGCTTCTGTCATCCATCCCCTTTGTCTACAGTTAATGTAAACCCTTTCAGAAAGGCTTACATCTCTCTTCCCCCCACTTGGTGGGTAGATATGCAAAACTCCTGGCAATGCACTGTTGTCTTTCCCACTTAGCCACACTGCTGGGGAAACAGATGCCAAGCCTCAAGACCAAGAGCCACACTCCCCCCCTCCCCCTCCCACTTTTCTTTTTCTGCTAGCAATGGCCTAATAAACCCTTTCTTTTAAAAAGGTGTTTTCAAGGCTGCAGTCATGAAAGTTCAAAATTTTCGTTTAACAAACTTTATAAGTGGAATTGACCTGCAGGAGGAGGCGTGGAGGTTGGACTATAGGAAGAACTTGCTGATAATCTAATTCTTCACATGAATTAGATTGGGGCTCTGAAAGGGACAGAGTGGAGACTCATTTCCTAGAAGCCTTTAAAGAGAGACTTTTATTTAGGTAGGGGAGGGGCAGCCCAGGGAGAGAAGCCTTGCTGCAGTTACCACCATCAGACCTGCACCCGGAGGGGCACCCAGAGCCAGCGCCTTGAAGCCTGCTCACTCTCATTCTTCTCTGCAACATGCTTATCAGGGACAATGTGAGTGGGCTGTCCAAAATGTGAGCTTTTGTCCCATCGTGTCCTAGCTGTGAAACCTTGGACGAGCATGAACTCCTCTCATCTGTCAGACGACCAGCATGTTAGGACCTGGCTCCTGGGTGTTACAGGGCATCACACTCCTGGTGGGGGCAAAAGTCCAAAGCAGTCATGAGGCTGGAGCAAGTGACTTCCTTGGCCTGCTCACTCACGTTCCTCATGGGTGCAAACTTCTCCTGGAGGAGAGTGGAGGGAAGGCCTTTATCCTTCTGGTCCCCCTTTCAGATATTGACCAGGGGGGGTTGGGAGGGAGTTAAAGTTCTTGCTGCCACCAGGCTAGATTCAGGCCTCTGCATCCAATACTTCTGCGTCCCTCTTTGTCCCATTCCTTTCCCCACCCCTCGCCCCAGCACATGTTCATCTCCTTTGCAAAGAGCTCTTCCATAAAACCACCAGAGTTCCTGCTGTAGGAAAGTGTATAGGTACTGGCAAAACTCGGGTAGCCTATCCTTACCTCTGTTGGGTCTCCTATTCAGTTCCACCCCCTGGCTCCTGGTCTGCTCCATCTTTGGCCAAGGGCAGCCACAACCCTGTCCTTCTAAGCTATGTCCACAGGGTGGCAGCAAAGTCCAGAAGTTCTATGGAAAGGACCTTATGTATTATTTTATTGCCCCCTACTTCCCACATGTCCTTATGTCTCTGCAGGGAGGGGTCTGAAGCCCCCTTCTTTCTAAGGCAGCCCTTTTCCTCTGGCCAGCACTAAGGATC